ATTTTAATAAGTTTATCATGATTTACTATTTTGGGAATCTTTGCTAATTGATTAGATTTTGGTCGTGGGCAAGACACTGTCTGGATGGAGTAAAGAGTGGGTAACAGTAGAGAAGCTGCAGAGAGGTCTGTTAAAATACAACTCTGCCTCCTGGTCTGCACCCTGGGTGGAGACTTAGACAGATCTATTTTGTCATTTTTCATACACTAGTGTAAACAAAAAGAAATTTGATTTAGAACAGCTCTCTAGACAATTTCATATTTTAAAGTTCAGCCTTAATAAGGTAGGCAGCAGTTGTCTAGCTGCTACTACTGCCTCCAGCTCCTAAAGCATATGCTTCTCCTGGCTCAGGGGAGGAAGACGACGATGATGCTGTGAGGGTGGTAGCCCCCTGGGTTGAAGAGGCCGATGTGGTTGAAGCAGCAGTTGTGCCATCGGCAGGTTTATCAGCAACAGACGAAGCTGGAGAAGGTATGGAAGCCGGAGGGGGCCGGGAGGAGCCGGCTGGAGATGTTTCAGGATTTCGCAGGGAATCATCTAGAGTGCTCTCCTCATTTTAACCTGCTGAGGGCTGTGCTTCCTCTCTAGATAACCTAGGAACAGTCTCAGATGAGCCTCCATTCATGCAAAGCGCTTTATCTCTATTGGTGCGGTAGAGCATCAGCCAACCACCACCCCCACCTCCAGGCCATCAGCACAGTCTGGTACTGCCGGACGCAGCCAAGTGCTAGAGGGGTTTGAAAAGTCACTAAATATAGCGACAAAGGCGTTAAGTTGGCAACACTGCTCTTTGCATCGTTTGCTTTTAAATAGGGGGGGTGGGGGCTGAGACACACTTAATATTATAAGGCAAGGTAAATTTATTTGGATAGCACAATTCAATACAAAGTCAATGCAAAGTGCTTTACATGATTAAAATATAGGAAAATAAAACAAAATCAAAGCAAGTAGGAAAACAAAATAAAAAGACAGAAACAAAAAAGAACATTAAAAACAGTTGGAGTAAAGAAAATAAAAAAGCTGAACCAATGATGTTTCAGTTAAACAGTTTAACTAGAACAGTCGAAGGCAATCCCAAACAAATGTGTTTTTAGTCTTGATGCTGTTTTTTTGGGGGGGGGCCTCATTGCACGGCCTGAACCTGGAATCTTGCCTAGTAGAATAGATTTGGGCCTCTGGCTCTCGAGGCCTGTGTCAGTGCCTCTGTGCTGTCCTTCAGTACGGCCATCTCTAGCATTGGTAGTTTTTCAGTCAGATCAGCTATTCCACCCTCTGTTGGGGTTACATGCCATGTTAGGTTTTTTCCTCCAGTAATGGTTCTTTCCACTTCCTCCTCTTCCAGCTTCCACAGTCTGAGGGCTTCATCAGTTGGGGCACTCTTGTATGTATTCTTCTAGCTTTCATGTTTCATCTTCAGTGATGGCTCTGGTTTTAACTAGGCTTATACCTCCTTCTTTGCACTTCATTTATAGTCTGTAGATACTGAATTTGGGGTGGAATCCACCATGCATGGTGAGTAGTTTTTGTGTTTTAAGATCAAATAAGATTAAATTGCCCCTTTGGCCAACTTATAACATCAGTACGTAATCCCATTACAGGAAAGGAGTAGCTGTTGATTGCCTGAGTCAATGTCTAACATGCTCACTCTTAGCATGGTCCACGCAGAACAGCAGGGGGGGGTGGAGGTACGGTATATGATTTGGTATATTGCTATATTCCACTTATGACTGAGATTTTTGCAGTTGGCCTTAAGTGTAGTTTGCCATGGAACTAACATGGAGTTTGCAATGAAAGTTCTTAGGGCCCTGTCACACTTGCCGATTTAGCCAGCGTATGCCAGACATCCCAGAATTTTCTAAAACGCTGGCATATGCTGAACTTTCTATGTATTTTTTTTCAATTTTGGGCATATACATAGAATATTCAGAGTCCAGAAATTATGTCCGACAGCCTAACTTATGCATAACGCACAGCAGCATAATGCTCACCAACTGATGCATTATGAAGCATCAGTTATAGCTGCTCCCCTAAGGTGCATAGCTGCTCAGAATGCATCAAGTTACTTATGACTAACTTACACTTACAATGTATGTCAACGATCAGATAACTTACGTGTAACTTACGCCCCACGTACGAGCATACACACTCATACGTCGGGAAATGAAATTTTTAGCAAATTTATTAAGTGTGTCTCATTCCTTTAGAGACAGCATGAAAAGTCAGCTGAGTACAAAACATAGAGAGGAAAACAAGAAGAAAAGGGACAAGAAGAGAGGGACACAACCTAGAACAGATAATGGATGTCTATTCTATTAACATTTCTCTATCTGGAGAATGGGGCTGTTTTAATTTGTTGTCTTCATAGGGCCCCCTGCCTGTCTTTGCCTAGGGCCCATAATTTCCTAAATCCACCCCTGCAAATAACAGATGTCTTTTTAGTGACCCTGAGAAGATAACATTGAACACTGCAGCTAAGAAACATGTTCACACCTTTAGACACTTGAACCTGAAGCCAACCTGCAGCTCTTTACACGATGAGGCGTTGAATCCACAGCAGTTTGCAGTAAATTGCAGGAATGATGTTAAAACTGCTCCATGGACATCCCTGACGGAATGCTGGTTGTGTTAATGCAGGGTATGGTGTACGTCGGCACGTCGGTGGGGGTGGTGAGGATTCCAACCGCTAACTGTTCGTACTACTGGACCTGTGCCCAGTGCGTTCTCTCCCGAGACCCTTTCTGTGGTTGGGACCCTGTGGGCAGGGCCTGTGTGGAGGTTTCTGAGACCCAAACCGCTCTGTGAGTATCACACTGCCAGACTGGAGCTAACATTTTTCTCTGAAACAGTCTGAGCAACGCTTGGATGATTGTTTTTATCTATTACTGTTTCGTTAAAAGGAAATCTGAGAACTAGAGACTACAGCTGGATTATATAAATCCCATAGCTGTATATTGGTTATATATTCTTCAGGTTCACCGTTTTTATATTGTTAAAACCCTTCACATTACAGGATTTTATTGTTTATCTTTTAACTCTTCATTATTAGCTGCACTCGAAGCTGAATATAAAACTTCTCCACTCTCTTTCATAATAACTAACTGTGATTTTCCCTCATTAGGAGCCAGGACATAGATGGAGCGAATGTCGAGGAAGCCTGTAACAGCATTTCATTGACTCACAGAGGCAAATTTGGGCCAAGCAAGCTGCCCACAGGTAAGTGTTGCTCACCTGGAACGCCTTTCTTAGCTGAGGATACATTCTGTGTCATGTTACCTCTTTGCTTTGGAGATGTGGAAACTTACATTTTATTTGGCAGGATTAAAAAAAATTAAATAATATTTTAGTACATATAGTATATTGTACCAAATACTATATGAATATGTTAAAAAAAAAGTTATACTAGCCACTGAGTGCATTGTAGGACATCAGCACACCACGCAAGTCACTTCTGATCTAACAAGCAGAACTCTGTTAACGTTGATAATCATGGAGCATTTCGCCCTGGCTTCCTTAAACCAGGTATCACTGTACACATTATTTTTTTCAGTCATCACATGCAGCTACAGCTCACTTTGTATGACGAAATACGCTGCCTTAGCCATTTGTGCAATTTTGTGCTGAAAGCCCTAAAAAGAAAAGGCGACGACGTATTTGGACGAAGACATGGCTGAGCTAACGTGGCTACTACGGTCTGACAGAAAGGACTCCATTTAACTCATTGCACCCCCTCCATGCTGCCGGGTTTTCCTCTGAGAGGAAGAAGAATCCTTGTTTGCCCACTGAGCATGGCCGACTTTTTTTTTTTTTTGACAGTGTCCTGTCTGGCAATGTGGCAATAAGAATAATTGTCTTGCTGCCAAAAAGAGCCCAACAGATTTTCCTTTCACAAGTGGAGCAGTACAGCTATCGCCATAGTGCTACACTTGATTTATGCATGTAAATTGCTTTATTATAATTCATGCAGGAAGTATTACAGATTATATGGACACTGCAATGTAAGTAGAACAGGAAAGGAAAAACAGGGAAAAAAGGAGAAAAGATGAAAGAAAGAGGAGATAAAAGGGAGACAATGATAAAACATTTTCAGTCTGCTTCATCACCTGCAAAGAGATGGAAAAAGAACAGCATGGTACGAGACATAAAATAAAGTAAACCCTTGATAATATTGCTGAAGTATAAGTAGTATTATTTAATCTGACATGTATACTGTGGTAGCTGAAGATAACTATATGGGCTTTCTGTGTGGAAGTGAATCTCTGAGTACCTGGAGCTAAGAGCCTGTAGTTGTTTGTGAGAGTGAACTTGTGCATATAAAGTTTATTCAAAGGAAAAATGAGAGAGCCCCACTGGGGGGGAGCATCACCATAGCCCGGGGGCCAGGGACCGGCGGCAGGACCCACAAGCCAGCCGGCCACAGGGCCGACACCGCCACCCCACCCACCCTGGCCAGCCAGCCCCCACACACTATGCAGAACCCCCAACATGGACGAAGCCACACAAGGGGACAGCATGGACCAGGACCTAAACAGGGAGCCAGACCCGAAGCCCTTCTAAAATCCTCATCCCTCCATCACCACCCCCCGCCCCCCTCCGGAGATGTGATCCCTCCCCTACATTACCATTCAAACCAATCACCACACAAGAGACAAGACATCCAGGCTGAGATCTATACAAGGCCATGTTGGGTAAACTGCCGGCATATTTATGCAATCTCCTCAAGCTAAATTCCAGCCATTTTCATCTCCGTTCCACCAGGTGGCGCCCTTACCAGATTCCAATGGTTTTTACTGAGCTGGGGAAGAAATCCTTCTCTTACTTTGCTCCATGGTCCTGGAATAATTTGAAAAACTTGCTCCATTTAAATGATCTAGTCCCATTGAATAAATTTAAGGCCATGTTAAACTGTAACCGCCCCATGTGACCTGTCTTTTCCTCTATGTGAGATTTTGTCTATGTTGTATTTCTGTTTGTATTTTAACTGGTGTGCCGTCTTGGCCAGGTCTCCCTCGAAAAAGAGATTTCAATCTCAAGGGACTTCCTGGTTAAATAAAGGTTAAATAAATAAAAAATAAATTCCCACTCCCCCTCCCTCCCCTTCCCCCACTAGCAGAATGCAAACCCCTGAAGGGGTAAGCATCTGCCATAGGTGTTAATGTCCATGCTTTTATTTTTGTTAATGCCATATTGCAAATTTAATCTAACAAATGTGATAAACTCCGTACCTTTAAATAAATGATCCAGATAGTTAATACCATTATTCTTCCAGTACGGAAAGTTTATCACATTATTGTTTTGTAGAATGTCAGGGTTATTCCAGATGGGTGTACGACTGCACGGTAAAAGTGATGACTTCATTATTTTAAGAAATTCCTACCATGCTGTCAGGGAAGAGCTGATGTTAATATTTTTAAAACATGAATGCTACTTGAGCTTAGAGCTAACAAACGGCAAATCTGAAATTATGATATTACTGCATATTTCCTGTTCTGTGTCTATCCAGGGTTCATCTAAGGGATTAGGTTTTATCCATTTAGAGATGTATTGTAGTCTCTTTGCTAAGTAGTAGTTTTGGAGGTTAGGTACCGTAAATTTAGTCCCCCTCTGTCTTTAGTTTTCTGTAGTGTCTTTAAGCTGATACGAGGGGGTTTATCTTTCAAAAGAAGTGAATTTACACCATGTTTGATTTTATCCTGACCTTACCATTCCTGATGGGGAGGTGGTTGTTAGAGGCTGATCGCCCCTCGTTACCCCTGTTCCCTTCCCCCCGGCCCCTTCGGGTTGAAGTTGGGCCCCTTGGAAAAATTCTTGCATCACTGGAAAATATGCCTTTAAAGGGCAAAACATTGTACAGTGTATGCCTGGCTTTACATGTTGCTCTCCATTGTTTACTTTCCTGATTTGTGTCGCACTGATGACATCAGCGCTAACCCAGTGTAATGGTGTCACCAGGCGAGGGGTTAGACCCAGCTTTTTTTGCCAATGGGAAGAGAGCCAAATGCCGATTCGACCCATGTTTGAAAAACATTAGTAGCCATGTTCTCTGTGTTTCAGCCTCGTGTCCCGCAGGCGAGCTGGTGTCCGTGTCTCTGAATGAAGTGGTTCGGCTGCACTGTCCTGCTGCTTCGCAGTTGTCCCAGCAGCTGTGGGAGCGACCAAACAGCCGGCTGTCCTCAGACCTCTACCTCCACCTGAAGGACGGCAGTCTCAGCTTCGTGGCCACCCCAGCCACGCTGGGCCACTACCTCTGCCTGTCCACAGAGAATGGCTACCGACAGACCATGGCCATTTATCAAGTCAAGCAGAGGAGCAATCCTGTGTCTCAGACCCCGACCGGCTACACCCGGCTTCACACGCGAGGCCGGCCCACCACTCAGGCTGCAGCCACACCTGGACTGCAAGTTTCTGTCGGGGGGGGACCTAAAACAACAGCATCCAGACCGGCTGAGACTAAAACCTCGCTGTCCGTCAGGAACAGTCAGGTCACCACGAAACAGCTCGGCAGAAATGTCACTTTGTGGATGGGGGAATCTGGACAAACAGAAGCGGGGATCCCCGGTGGGAAACCCGTGCACTCGGCTCGCTGCACCAGCTTCCTGAAGGAGCTGGTGGTTGTGTCCATTCTGCTGGTTCTGTGCCTCAGTCTGCTCCTCACCATCACTCTGTATGTTCTTCGACAACGCTGCCGGAGAAGAACTGCTCCTGTAACAGGAAGTCTAAGCAGGAACTCTGAGAGGAGGACGCCTGAGGAGCAGGAGGCCCTCAGGGAAAATGAGTTTGGGAGCAAATGCAATGGCCAGGCACCTCTGGGTGGACATGCCAGTGGGCTGGTTTGTAATGGGAATCTTACAGACTCTACACAGAATTTGCCAAACACCCCCTTCTGAGCCAGACTTAAAATCACTCCAGAAATCTTCCTATGGAACCAAAGCAGATCTAATTTTATTAATTCTCCACATTTCAAGCTGCTTTGAAATTTAGGAAGAACTGTGCTGACCAATGCAAAAACCATCTACAAATAAGTTTTAAAAAATTAAAAATCTCCCCTTTATTTCGGCAGATTAATAAAAGGATTTGCCAATGGAAGTATAAGTATTTTTACTCTTTAAATACGGTAGCAGCTGTGCAAAATGGTCCTTCCCAGTCAAACGGCAGATGAATGGAAGCCCACTTCCTGCCACAGGAGTGACCCCCCCTCCTTCTCCTGGGCGTGCATATTTTTTTACGAGGGCCCATCAAGGAAAGTGGTGAAATTTTGAATGGCTACTACTGTAAGAGCGTTAGATAATATGCACCAGAGCATGTGAACGGAGCGGAGCAGCGCGCAAGACTTTTAGACTTTAGACTTTTATTTGTCCCCAAGGGGAGATTCTTTTCCACATACACAGAGCTCGTTTACACGAAGACACAGTAAACACCAGCACAAGTACAAGA